AAAGTAAGTAGTAGTGTAGTGTGTGTGTGTGTGTGTGTGTGTGTGTGTGTGTGTGTGGGTTTGTAGTTCATGTAGTTCATAGTGAATATATAAAAGTTTCGAAAAAAATTCTCTTAGAAAACATTATTATCTGTATACTGTTATCCATTTTTGACTGTTAAATAATTTTATAAATATTAATGCACATTTATATAAAATTGTTTTTCTAAAAGATAAAATAGAAAAATGGGTCAAATGTATGCGTCATCAAAAAATATTTTGTGTAAAAAGATATCGTATTGAGTTACACATTGCAATGTTTATTATTTTTCACCGAATTTTATCGAGTTTTATGCTGTTGCATTTTATTAAATTCTTTATTTTGTATCATCAAGTAAAATTTTTTTCATACATTTATTATCACAAATAAACAAGCTTTATTCTGAGGCTTTATTTATAGATGGAATTGTCATCTCCTCAAAATATCTCACGATCTTATAGAGCGGAATGTAATAATGGACATATCAAATAAAGATTCCCGATTATTTCAGTGGTTCTGCGAGCTGACATTACCGAACAGATGCATCGAAAGTTCACAAGATTCATCATATCTGCTGAGGCTGAAAACGCAAATGAAACGGCCGATGTTGGCACTTTCGATCTTCAAGAGGATACATTAACCAAATTCGCGGATAATTGTGCAAACGCCGTCATGGAAACATCCAAAATGGAGAAAGAAAATATATCCGTTGCTTGGACCAGTCCTATGGGAGGTAGCGGTTGCATTCTTTTTAGGTAATAGGCATACTTTTGTTAATAGAAAATTGTAATATCTATTTCATGATATTTGCAAAATGACATTTTGAAAAAAATCAGATGATACATCATTCTTGCTATAAATGTTTAAACACTAGTGTTACAATATCATATTATTAATACATATATGTATAAATAAATATATAACATATATATGTTTTAATTAACGCAGCAAAATATAATATAAGCATATTTATTTTACAATAAAAAGTATTTTATAATAAAATATATTATTTTACATTAAAAAGAAATTATATAAACACATATTTTTGATAAATTGGCTACTTTCAATATAAACATTTAACATTTAATAATTGTGTTATTACATAATTAAATTACATATATATAAAATATCTTTACATGTACATTTTATTATTTATATACGTGTAAAATTTCATAGTATTATAAAATTTCAGAATGTACAGCATTTGTTAATTAAAAAATTTTATTTAAAATGGATATGGGGATAGAAACAGTATTTATCGCGTAAGCTTATTTTCCTTTGAAAAATTAATGAAATACTAATAATATACCTCTGATTGCAAGTACGCTAATATCATATTTAAATGCATATAAATATTTCGAAATATATAGTTTATAATATCATACTATAAACATACATATAATATTTAATACATAATATGTGATTGCGAAATTTTTCCAATATTTAGATTACTTTCGTGTCAATAAATTATTTATTTTCTCTTATTTAATTATTGAAATTGCATTGCTTGACTATTACTAATAATCTATATGTATATTTTTGATAATTATTCGTGCTATCAATTACATTTCTGTTTCTTTTCTTTGTTTGCAGAGCGACAGTGTTGGAGACGTCAGATACATGGTACATGGACTCAAATTTAAATTTTCAAATGTGTCAAGATTTGAAAGCGGAAACTGATGATGAGGGCGACATTCTTTATCAATGTTGTGCCTGCGACGAAGCAAAATTTGAAGTTACCTTCGAAGGACTGTGGTCTAGAAACACACATCCAAAAGTGAGTGCCTTATATAAATTTATATCTTATCACAAATCATGATGTTAATTTATATCTTGTCTATAATTGTAAAACTTAATGTTTCAAATAACTGAGAGAAAGATTGGCCGACTATATATTGCGTATATTGTATTATATAACAAATATGTATAAATATGGAATATGTTATATTTATCAACGAAAAAGATAAAATAATGCTGCTTGAATCTGAGTAAATTGCAAAATAAAGTCTCCTTTTCGTACAACCGTATATATTTGAAATCGAAGCGACTGTTTGTGGGAAATCTTAACACGACCGATGCATTTTCCTGAATTTTTCTTGTCATTTATTCATTATTATTCTCTCTCTCTGCGCAGGATTTCCCTAGTAAAGGCTGGACTATAAGATTTTCAGACGTAATCGGCGCGTCACACACTGGGAGTTATCGCTTCTGGCGTTACAACGAGAAGGCTAGCGAAGGTCTGCGATCTGTCGCTGAGTTTGGTACAACACGAAAATTGGAGTCCGAATTAAAAAATCAAGTAAGAAATGTAAAATCTAGCACTTCTCTAGAAAGAACAGCTCTATAAAAGCACACAACACACACACACACACACACACACACACACACACACACACACACACACACACACACACACACCACCACACACACACACACACACACACACACACACACACACACACACACACACACACACACACGTACATATTTATTATAAATTATATAAAAATAATTATGACATAAACATAGATAGATATAAATTATAGATACATATAAATTATAATTATAGATAGATATAAATTATAATTATAGATAGATATAAATTATAAGCAATCTATTGTTTGTAGAGTGAAAACATCAGGACTATAATTAAGGCAAGAGGAATCAGTTATCCTAACGTAACTGGTAGAACTTTTGCTGTTTTTCGCGTTGATAATAAACATCATTTAATGTCTTTGGTTTCTATGATTGGTAAGGCTGATTTTTATTAGTTTTTAAAAAGAACACTGAGCTTGTAAATTTAGAAATAAATTCTTATCGTTTATTGTTGGAAAAATTTAGTTCCCTCACCTGATTGGTTCGTTGGAGTGTCCGGACTCGAGCTGTGCTTACCCAATTGTTCTTGGATAGAACACAAAGAACTGAACTTGTACCCATATGATGCTGGTACTGATGACGGTTTAACTTACTTGGTAAGTAAATATCAATTATTTTATTAGTTTATAATTCAAAATTTACGGGTGTCTTGGTATTTAAAGATACCCGACTTTAAAGACTTTAAAGACAAAGATTGATGCAAAATTCCTGAAGAACTCTTGAGAAGGCATCAAGATAGGTGCGATTAATTTGTATTTCATCGAATAGGTGGAGGAGCTACTCGAAAAAAAGATAATCATCCGTTAATGTTTAGATATTATATCATAAATTCTCATGCGAGGGAATATCTAATTCTATCAATTTACAATAGCCACCTTCGTCAGCAACAGAAACGCTGACGTTGTTGCTCCTCTCGGCATTTTCCCGAGAGAAAATTTTTCTCATCTTATCCTCCACTATTTTTCTTTTGAAAAATCCTATTTTCTCGCTGTCTCTGTTAATAGGAATTTCTTAATCCTTTCTTAATAGCTATTCCTTTCTCATAGCAATCAAATCTAGTTATTAATTGTATTGTGATTTTTGTAGTGCGTATCGCACTACAACTACATTGTAAAAAGATACAAGAAATAATGAATTTAAACGATAGAAAATTTGATCAGGCGAAAAGTATTTATGAATAAACTATTGTATGTCTTTTATATATTTTATATATTCTATAGCAAACAATTATTTTGTCAGACAATACTCATCGTTTTTTATTGTCTCGTATTACTTATTAGTCGCCCGATACGCCAGTAGAGACACCAAAACCGATCCAACGTATCACATCTAAATATCCAAATGATTCAAGATCGCCTTTTTATGATCCGTCTGGTCTGGACATGAAACCCCTCGCGAAGCTTTATCTCAATAGGCAAAGATTGTACGAGAAGACCTGCGATAGCATCGGCGATACGTTAACTGATACAGGTGCTCAGGATAAGAAAAACAGCAAGTATCATTTTGTTCCATAGACGTTTTTGTTTCTTGAAGAAACGTGCTCGTGGAGAATTTACGATAGATAATTGTATCGCTCGGAAATTTTAAAGCAACACATTAATGTCCGACCCGCGGTTCCCTCGGCGATGTAAAAAAATTTGCATTTCACCGAGGAAGAAAAAAGAAAGGCGCAGAATTAAACACCAGTTTTTAAATACTAAAACTCACTTCGTGAACGAATTTCTGCAAAGTTGAACGATTAAACTAACATTCATTATGAATCTCCACGTCACATGCAAATCCGCATAATTATTTTCTAAATTGTTCATGCGAGAGCCGTTTTAAAACGGGATAACATCCGGGTGAGCAGCAGTTCGAGCCAAAGATGCTTTACTTTGCGTACTACATATTTTTCGCTTTGCATATTATTTGCTTTTCTCTATAATCGGGCATTGCATGATGAATTTGTTGCATATAGATAAATTGCATCATTACTAGATGATTTCATTCTTGTTTTAAATGCCTCAGTTACAAAATTCAAATGCACGCAATTCTTATGAAATATGTAAAAAGGTAATCAGTGGTTTTGTATATAGAAGCCTGTAGGGTGTCATCCTGGGGTGAATGGAGTGAATGTTCGGTTACCTGCGGCAGAGGCATTCAGCTGAAACACGTCATTTTCGCGACGAAGTTGCGGCGGAAGCGAACAAATGCAACACCTCTCTCACTGATCGGAAAATCTGCTACAATACGGAGAAGCCGAATTGGTAATGCATCTTTACAGTCGCGACTAAAAACTGATTTATAAAACTTCTGAAAGTTCTTTCCTCACTGAAAAATGTTTTGTGAATTTTATTTCTTTTAAAATCTTTTTGAACTTTTCCTGTGCTGTGTCCTTAATTAAAAAAAATTCTTTTAGCTTTTCATCTATATTTATTCGATTTATTTATTCATATTTTTAATAATTGTGACAAAAAATATTTTGAACTATACAAAGACGAATAGTTCGCCACAGGAGAGATATAATCGATTATTAATTTATTTTTGATTTATTTAAAATTGAAAATTTGTTGACTTGATAAATACTCTTTCGTGCTATATAAAGTTGCAATACACAGTTCAAATTATTTCTATTTGTCAAACATATTGAAAAGCAGCAAACATGAGCTTAACGTTAGTCGAGATTGAAATAATATTCTCTTTTAAATGATTGTTTTGAGTATAAATTTCTAAATGGAAAGCTTAGTCTGTTCTAAAGACATATTTTTTTTATGAAAAAAATATGGTACTTATATTATTCACATTTAATGGAAATTAAAAATTTAATGAAATATAAAGAATCCTGTCAGTCAATAATTAATAATAATAGAAACTGGATTAGGTAGTAGAGACATATTTAATAATAATCAAACGTTTTAATAATAACAAACGATTTAATAATAACAAAAACTTTTTACTTTAAGACAAAATATACAGGTAATCGCCTGCGTTTGTATGTATAGATTGTATAAGAGAAAATCTAATCGATTTGTTTGTCTAATATTTATGACGATTCACATTTGTGCTGTCACGAAATGATTGCATTTATTTTCGCAAGCATCAATATCGGTTATTACGACGAGCTGTTGAAGAGCGAAAAATGCGAGCTAACTGCATGGAGTTCGTGGAGTTCGTGTTCGTCGACCTGCGGCAAGGGCAGCATGACCCGGTCTAGGAATTTCCGGCAAAAGAAGTATCGAAAGCAGTGCAAAGCCGTGCCGAATGGACCGCGACTCGAGCAATCAATGGATTGCAAGAATAAGCCCTGCGAAGGCGAAGATATGGAGGAGGTAAGGCAACGACAGAACAATGGTGGCGAGGACGAGGATTATACTGGTGAGCTAGCGGATGGTACCAGAGAGGAATGGCTGCAGGTATGAGAAGGTTTAGGAGGTTCAGGATTTAAACGAAAACGATTCAGACGAAAAAAACAAATTTTCCGACAAAGCTGATTCGCAAAGTACTCAATTCTATCACAATTATTAAACTTACTGTTAATTAAGCTTATTATGATATATGATAACTAAACGTAACCAAAAAGATAGAAAGAGGCGATATTCAATGCTTTGATATTAATATTTCTTTAGCAAAAACTTTGTTTAGACTATTATGCATATTGAGGATTTTTAGTTTTTAACAGTCTTTAAACATTTGTCTTTAAACATTTTTGTGGAGATTTTGATTAAGAATTGTTTGAAATAAGAAGTCCATCTGTTTATTCATTAATTTTGGAAATTGATATATTAATATTATATATATAATTTATTATGTTATTTTCATTTAGATTTAGTAAAATAATTTTTTTGGATTTACGTGTGAGTTTTTATGTAATAATCTATTTATTTTTTGCCTCTCAGCTTTGAAAGGAGTTTAACATCTCACATTAGATTTTACACTAGATTTTATTTGTCACATAAACACATAACTTTGACATAATCCTTATAACTTTAGCTTTGATTTAATATCTAACTGCACGTAAAAATCTGACTTATACCTAGCTTTTTTTGCATTTGTTTTGTTTCTCTCTAAGACTACTCTTTTTGCTTCTTTCCGTTCTATTTTCTTTTTTTGTCATTAAGATTTTCTTCATCCAACTAATTCCTCCTTCTTTCTCACTTAATAACTGAGTTACACTTCATTTCCATGACTTATTTTTCATTTCCATATAAATTTCGCGATGATCTTTTACGAGTTCTTATGGCCTTGTTTCCTTAAATATTCTGGCACTCTGTTGTATATAATCCTTTATACCTTATATCATATCTAAAATTCTAAATCTTATTAAATGACATCTGTTCGTATATTTCTAATTCTTTAAATTCTAATTCTTATTAAATGAAATCTGTTCTTGTATTTCTAAATCTCTTTCTACTAACTTATAGATTATCTCAAGATTTTTTCCTCTTAAATTTTTGATCTCTCTGACATTCCGTTTCTGTAGAAGTATAGTTTCTCCATCTAAGTCCCACCTATTTCTATTTTTTTGTTTTTTTATTTTCCTAAAACATTCTTTTAGTATGATATTATTTAAACTTTCTATAATTTAAATCTAATCACTCTTTTACCTGATTCTCATCCTTTTGTTTTATTGTCATTTAAGTCATTTTTTTGTTTTTTTCTGATTATAAATCCCAGTATATTTCAACCTAAAAACTATTTTATCATGGCATTTTTCTATCGCTTCATATATCTTCCCAAATTTCAGTTCCGTGCATATATAATGATACTGTTGACTAAGTGGTCAAACACCCATATTTTTTTTTAAATCTCTAGCGAATTTTCTTTTTGTTCTATATTTGGTTTATAGCGCTTACAGCCTTTTAATTCTTAATATGCCTATCTATACTATTATTTCTTTGCAACTTATATCCTAAATATTTAAAATGATCGACTTCTTCTATCCCCGTTCCTTTAGTCATTGTTGTTTTTGCTTTTTTCCTTCTTCTTTTCTAAAAATCATCACACCTTCGATTTTTCTACTCTGAGAATTAATTCTGTTCTCTCCAGAAAATTTGAGAAACTTTTCAACATTTCTCAATATCATTTGTCTTCTTTCATTATTAAGACAATATATGCATCATATGCTAAACTTCATATCTTCTTTCCTTCACACCTTCTTACCTTCACATCTTCCATATCAAGTTCTCCATTTGTGTTTTTCGTAACATATCTTCTATATCCGCTACACATATTGTAAATGATGCTGAGCGCGGGTTTTTATGTTTATTTCATTTGATGAAGTCAGATCTGATTTTTAAATTTTGTATGCATTTACTTCAGAGACTGACATTCATTTTCGGTTCTATCCAATTGTAAAGCATGTTTAATCAATTTAGTCTCTTGAGAAATCAGATTTGTCGAAAAATTCGAAATCCGGATACAATTAACTGTTCATTCCTTAATAAATATCAAGCAAATTTCATACATCTACGAAAGAGGAGATAAACGATCTGCACGATATTTATTACAACGAATCCAGCAGCTTTGCTAAGTATTAAATCACCAGGCAGCCAGCGACGATAGCTTCGCACGAGTAATCGATACCTGTACCATTTCTCGTAGATCCGTCCACGGCGCCGGCACCCTCACGTAAGTCACACGATATCAGCAAGGGAAACCTGGCACCTTGGGGTGTGAAAAATTTGTGTGTGCTTTTTTTATAGAACGTCATTAGAGCACGCAAAAGAAATGGTGTAGCTCACCTAAAGCGCTCCGAACATCAAAGCCATATTAAAGAATCCAAGTATTGGCGAATTAATTTCTTCTTTTACTTCAAATACTCACTTCAGACTCTGAGGTGATATTTGATTTTTATCACCTCAGTTTCTGAGTGTTTTTAGATTCGCTTGCTGAATACTTGACAGCTTTACGATCAAAGATACAGCCGCTTGTATTCATTTTCAAGAAATTTATTAGTCTTGCTACTAACAGGAGAGAAGAGAGAAACAGTCATGCTCATTAAGGGGATTTTGTTAATCAGAGCGGTGGAAAATGATCAATTTTTGCAAATTTGAAAGAAACAGAAAAATATCTTTATAGCTAAAATCTTTATAGCTTTTTGTTTCAGTTATTTTTGAAAAATATTTCAGGACTTTTGATATTGTCTGTTAAACAGTATTCGCACAGATACTTATAATTTCATTAATTTTTAATAGATTTTATCAAAATTATTTTTTTTTTAGAGTAATTATTTTTTAAAAATATATTTTTAGTTTTAAAGTCTTAAAAAAATTCTAGAAAATTTAACAATAACAAAATATTTTTAATAACGGTAATAACGATTTTGCCACGTAACGTCATCACTATAATCAATAGAACATTTAAGTTTACTAATCGTCATTAAAAATCGCACCTTTATAATATATCATGTATGTAATCATCGTATGAAGAATATAAATGTCACTAAAACATTTTATGATGATTACGTGATGATAAATAAATCTTCACGATTGATGAAAATTCGAGCATATAATGCACAAGCAAAAAAAGATACAGAAACGAAATTCTCTATATTTCTCTTTTAAAATTTTTTTTGATACTCGCTTGAAAATCTCTTGTCGTACTTTAGTACCCGTCACTTTCAAGCGATAGCGTGTGATTAACTCTCGAGGTAAAAGAAAATCTACACCAGAAATACGCGTTTGAAAGATTCTTCGAGTTTACCGTAAATGTCTCCAAGTAGAAGAAAGTTTCGTTTCTAGAACTCCTTCGATGAGTTGCCGTCTTTTTATACCGATCGATTCTTTCGGGCCGTAGAAATGTCCAGATGAACGATACAGTCAATGGTCTATGTGGACGCCGTGCACTTCCAGCTGCGGCCCCGGCGTCAAGATGAGGTCCAGAATATTATTGCATAAAGACACCTGGAACGGCGGATCTGAGGATGGTGACGATGACGGTGACAGCCACGAGGAGTGCAAGATGCAACAGGCAGACTGCTACTCCGAAATTTCGAGCTGCGATATTACGAAGGAAGAAGCAAAAAGTATATAAAATGTGAACTCTCAATTTATTTCTGGTTTATTTCATGTGACTCAGAAGCAAAAAGAAAACGTGCGTGGCGGAATTAAGAAATTCTAATTATAGATCATTTGATTTGCATTTCAATAATTTTTAACATAAATTAATTAATTAATATCGTGATATATTAATAAATTGTTTAAAAATTAATTTAATTTAAATAAATAAATTAAATTAATATATAAATTAATTTTTAAATAATTTATAAAAATAGGTGATAAATATGTCTTTATTATTATATTATATATTTTCATTGGGAAAAATTTTTAACTGTCAACAAAAGTCTGCCATGATTTTCGAACTATTGTAGCTGCATGTCTCTCATCGTTATAACATCTTTATAATTAAAATAATCAAAATAATATAACGGTAAAACGTTGCTAATCAGAGATCTGTAATTAGAAATCTGTAACGAACCCAAGAAGGAAGGAACTTGCCACATGAACCCGCGAATATGGCGAGCTTATTTCGACAAACAGACCGGCCGTTGTCACTTATTTGGCTGGACTGGATGCGACGGTAATCGAAACAATTTCCCGACCGTGCAGGATTGCTATGCTGTCTGTGGTAATTTCCAAAGTAAGTTAACTCGTTTACTGCACGTCGTATTCGCCGTTTTATAACGGGGCATCATGATAATGTTAATTACGCGATGATTACCCGCACGTGCACTAATAAAATTTCCTACCAACTCCTATACTTGCGATAGCAACTTCCACAATCAGATTTATCTGATGAACTGTGTAATATGAAATGCATGTCTCGCATGTTTTATATATTAATTCCTTTAATCGCAAATTAATACCAAAATATTAATTTTCGTATCCATTACAGTAGAATTACTCGAATTACTTTATTTATTTGTTTTCTTAAAAATCTCTTAAAAAGCTTTTATACGAATTGCCCTTTTGAATTCTGAATCTGCACCACGTAAAATTTTCGTTTTGTGAATAAATTACTTTTTCACGAATAATCATTTGTGTTACACTTTGCACATGCTTACTAACAAATTCAGGAGAATTGAAGACGAATCAGTCGACAATCACGAAAAACTTGAAGGTATCCCTTAGCAGCGTTCTCAGTTATCACATTCCCGTTCAGGAGCAACGCAGAACGAAAGCGAAGAGAGCGCAATATGGTGATAATTAATTGCTTTATGCACAAATTATTCAATATTGCTAATTAATATCAAATCAATATTTATGACAAGAATCTATGCGCGCACGCGTACACACACACACACACACACACACACACA